GTTGGGTTTGTAGGTGTTCAGAATGGTTTGATCCCTATCCAGCTGAATTCCTGAGAGGAGACGAAATCCAGGTCTCCTACTCCTCCGCCATCTTGCTCCGTCCCCCTGTTTTATGCTGTTTTAACTAAGTCATCTTGTCTTTCCCCTTTTGACTCTAACAAAATTTTTTCAGATTGTAAGGGAAGTTAGGTTTGTGAAAATTAATAGACCCAAAATAAAACTAATAGTATTTAAAACTGAGCACAGTAGAATTTGTTATTGACTACATATTGATGGAAAATTTATTGGCAAAATTTGATCCTGGACCTAGGAAATTTTGACTTATTTAAACAAAGCTATAAAAATTTAAAAAATCACAGTAAAATAAAATATGATCAGAAAAACTTGATGTGAATCCCCAAATGATGAATTAATTAAATTTTATTACAAAATGTACACACAATGAAAGCAATTCCAATAAGATTAAAGTGAAAATCAAAATATTGGAATATAACTGTAATGAATGAAGTATGAATCAAGGAATTTAAAATTAATTAAATGAACTCTAGAAAATAAAATTGCTAATGTTCTATCAGTGATGGCACAATTCATTCAAATATGTTTATATTTAATTATTTAAAAAGTTTTCACGGTCAAAGCACTAGGGTCATAAATATCCATCTGTTCACAAAAAGGGGGTTCAAGAGGGCAAGATCAAAATATTTTCTTCCCTTCTCATGTACAACATCATGATGTAGGAGACGACTCTTTCACCGTGCTCATCTTCAGTAATGGCCAATTTATTTTCTTTTTGTCATTTCTTTTTTTCTTTTCCCTACCTTTGCTTAATCATCCATATGAATGCATCTTTTCCCCACGTTATTGTACATGAACATCACATGTTGAGTTATCGTACATGAACATCACAGAGTTGAGTTAGCTCTTATCCCCTATTATAGCCCATAGAAATGAAAAAAGTTACCAAAGGAATCATACAGAGTAGATCGTCCAGCCAGGCTAGAAACACATTTTCTCAGTATACTACAACCATAACTGGCCAATACTGATGATCATTTACCTTAAGCAGTCAACCCATACAAGAGTGTTCTCTGTTACTATAATTGGTGGTTTATGTCATCCATCTTTCTTGAAACTGCTGTAGGCTATGCCATACGGCCAGTCCTTCATGAATCTCCTTAATTTCATCATCCTTTGTCCAAAGCCATGTACTTGGAAGCACATAGGACCAGCATTCAAAAGAACTAGATCGTGGAGTGCCTGGCGGGCTCAGTCAGTAGAGCACATGACTCTTAATCTCAGGGTCATGAGTTCAAGTCCCACACTGGGCTTGGAGCCTACTTAAAAAAAAAAAAAGAAGAAGAAGAACCAGGTCTTATTTGCAGGATTGTGTGAACTTGTGTGTGGAATTCCATTTCTCTGAACCTCAATTTCCTTGTGTGTAAAATTAGGATGATCTTGTGTATTCTGTTTATTTTACAAGGCTGTTTTATGAACAAAGAATAACAAAATAGTAAGCTTGTTATAATTGTTAAAAAATTGTTATAAAAAAGATTGTTGCTATAACAAGCCTGGCTTGTTAGAAATTAATGGCAATACCTTTATCATTTTTTTTTTAGCCACAGAAACTATCGTAATGTCAGAGATAATGTGGTAAAATATGAAGAGCAAATGAGATGAAATTTCACAAAACATAAAATACAATTTTCTATAACGAATACAGATGTGATTATTTTTATTGTGGATTATTATGCCTTATCTGAAAAATTTATCCTTCCTTCTTCGTTTTTCCCCTAGGACCACTGAGGTTCCTATCCCAGACAGACTCTGTCACAGCCTTTATGGGAGACACAGTGCTACTCAAGTGTGAAGTCATTGGGGAGCCTATGACAACAATACACTGGCAGAAAAACCAACAAGACATGACTCCTATCCCGGGAGACTCCCGAGTGGTGGTCTTGCCCTCTGGAGCCTTGCAGATCAGCAGACTTCAACCGGGGGACATTGGAATCTATCGATGCTTAGCTCGGAATCCAGCCAGCTCAAGAACAGGAAATGAAGCAGAAGTCAGAATTCTGTCAGGTACGTCTGTGCTCTTTATTTTCTTCAGAATCATATTGTTTGGAGTAGTTTGAACAACGGTTTTCCCTTTAACAAATGCTCTGTAATTGTTTTTAAGTTCTGGGGTTTTGCTTTACATGTTTTTTTCTTTCTTTCTAAATGAGCCATTAGATGAAGGTAAGCCAAAAGCTTTCCTTATTCTTCCCAGTCTTGTAGTTGAAGTTTCCAGAGAAATATATATTTTCGGGGTGCCTGGGTGGCTCAGTCAGTTGGGCGGCTGCCTTCGGCTCGGGTCATGATCCCAGGGTCCTGGGATCGAGCCCCACATCGGGCTCCCTGCTCCGCGGGAAGCCT